TTTTAATATTATAAGTGCTTATGATCCTTATGTAGGTTTAGATATGGGCTCTAAAGATAAATTCTGGAATGACCTAGAAGACTTAATACAAATGATACCTCTTGAAGAAAGAATTTTTATTGGAGTAGTGGTAAAAGATTTTAGAAATATTTATGATGGCTACGGTTTTGGAGTGATTAATGAAGAAGGTAGATCCATATTAGACTTTGCTTTTGTGTATGATTTTGTTATTACTAATACTTTATTCAAGAAAAGAGATAAACATGGTATTACTTATAAGAATGGATCTAATAAAACACAAATTGATTATTTTCTTATGAGAAGAAGTAATCGTTGATAATGTAAGGATTGTAAGGTCATTCCAAGTGAGGATTTAAGTACTCAACATTAATTATTAGTTCTAGATTTTAAGATGAAAAGTTGTAAAAAAAATTCTATGAATCATTGAATACAATGAAACATTGTCATAGAATTAGATGAGGGCACCTAAAAGACAACTAAATTTTTTTTAATGAGTAAACTTCAAGATTTCAAGATTGGGATGTTCAAGATGAAGCAAATTTTATGTGTGATAAAGTAGCAAATACTATAAACCAAGAGACAAAATCGACGCCCTAACGCAACCCTCCACTTTTCTCATCCGGGCTTGGGACCGGCAACGGCAGTGTTAATAATAATATTTAAGAAAAGATAAAATATAAGAGTTATTTTATAAAAATTAGTGTAAATGTAAAAGCTTAGATAATCGAGAAAAGTATAACATGGGCTAAGAGAACAATCAACGACGTTAAAAATTTTGCATTTAGTGATCTTTATGATAGATTAGGTACTAGAGGGGGTGAAAAACATATGTATAAACTAGCCAATCAAATAGAAAAGAAAAGTAAGGATTTAACTTAAGTAAAGTGTATTAAAGATTAAAAAAAATGTTTTTCTTAGAAAAAAAATCAACATAGGTGGGTGAGTTATTTAGATAAACTTTTTAATAAAGTTTCTCAAAATACAATCGACGTTAATGATCTTAATAATAAAAATATATATTTTATTTTTACCATCACATTAGTAAAAAAGAAGTAAAACCAAGGGTGGAAAGTCTGTAGGTCATGATGATATCTCAATTGAAGTGTGAAAATATATAGGAAATTTGGGAGTTTCTGGGCTTACTAAACTCTTTAATATTATTTTAAAAAATAAAAAGATGCCAGAGGAGTGGAGGAAGAGTATTTTGGTCCTCATTTTAAGAATAAAGGGGATGCATAAGTGTGTGCAAATTATAGAGGAATTAAGTTGATATGTCATAATTTTAAATTATTGGGGAGGGTAATTGAACATAGGTTAAGACGTATTACGAAGCTTTCTCATAATCAATTTGCATTATGCCAGACATGTCTACTATAGAAGCTATTCATATATTGAGAGGTTTGATGGATAAGTTTAAGAGAATAAGGAGGATCTACATAGAAATATCTTACATTAATTTAGAAAAAGCTTACGATAAGGTTCCAAGAGATATCTTTTGGAGAGTTCTAGAGAAGAAATGTGTTGATATGACTTATATTTAAGTCATTAAAGATGTGTATACTAGAGTTGTTACTTCTGTTTGAACAGAAGGAGGATTGACCAAATATTTTTCTATTTCAGTTGGATTACATCAGGGATCAGTTTTAAGCCCATATCATTTTGCTTTAGTTATGGATACTCTTACCGGACATTTACAGGAGAATGTACCTTGGTGTGTGCTTTTTGGTGATTAGATCCTTCTCTTCTATAAGACAAAAGAGAAAGCTCGGGAAAAACCTGAATTATGGAGGACAACATTGGAGTTTAAAGGTCTTCATTTGAGTAGAACTAAAACTGAATAAATGGAATATAACTTTAGTAGTAGTAGCTCTATCGACAGAGTTGTAACAACGGGTGATCAAAATATTAAATGGTGTGAACGCTTTAGATATCTCAGGTCTATTGTTCAAAGTAATGGCGATATAGATGGGATGTTATTAGCAGAATTCAAGTTAGTTGGTTGAAGTGGAGGAATGCTTCGGGCCTATTGTGTGATAGAAAAGTACCCCTTCAACTGAAAGAAAAATTTTATAAGATGGTGGTGAGACCTGCAATGCTCTATGGCGGTGAGACCTGCAATGCTATGGCATTGAATGTTAGCCTTTAAAAGAGAAGCATAAAACTAAGTTAAGTGTTGTCGAGATGAGAATGCTTACGTGGATGAGTGGCTTTACACTTAGAGACAAAATGCAAAATGAATATATCTGTGATAGAATTGGTGTAGCTCCAGTGGCGAACGAAATTAGAGAGAGTCATCTTAGATAATTTGGTCACATTAAACGTCAACCATTTGATGATCAGATTGGGAAAGTTGATGTTTTAGATTCGACTTATGTTAAGAATGGCAAAGGTAAACCTGGACATATTGTAATAGAAATGATCTTAATTTATTAGAATTAAATGAAAATATGACACTCAATAAGATGCAATGGAGAAAAAGGATTCGTGTAGCCGACCTCAAAAAAGGATTCGTGTAGTCGACCTCACTTAGTGGGATAAGGGTTTATTGTTGTTGTTGTTGCACTTTTTAAGGAAATAAATATTTTTGTTCTTATTTTATTATTTATATAAAATTTGTAAAATATGTTGGGATATTTGATTTGACAAAAAAATTTACCAAGTTAATATAATGTTAATTTTTTTACTTTAAGGTGTGTTAAGGGTGTAAACGAGCCAAGCTTGAGCAAGTCAAAGCTTGGCTCATGTTCAACTTGTTAGGAATATCCTTATTCATTTTTTGCTCGCTAAGCACCAAACACAAGCTGTTTGTGAGGAATGAGCCATTTTGATATCCTTATTCACGGAGCTGTAGGATGTTAATGATAGGGGTGAGATTTTAATCTTCTTATTTATATTAAATATTCATTTAAATATAATTTATTAATAATTTTAATTGATTATAAATCTTTGTAGTCTTGTCGTCAACAAAATCATTTAGAAATAAAACTCATCATATATATATATATATAATTTAATTATTTTGAGTTAAAAGAAGCTGAACATGAACAAACAAATCTTTGTTCATGTTTGACTCATTTGCTTAGCAAACAAATTGAACACGAACTACTTAACGAAACTTAACGAGCCGAACATGAGTTGTTTGCGTACAACGAGCCATTTTGACAACCTAGCTAGAATGCACTATGTTGTATCTACTTAAACTAAATCCTATTTTAACCATGTTCGAAAACTTTTTAGACCTATTTAGAACTATCCTTGAACATAGTTCAAGAATTATGTTGAGATAATCATCGACCACTCCATATTCTTTGTTTGATGTTTTATAAAGGGATAAACTTCCAAAGCTAATTACCCATTCTAACTATAGATGAACTTCGATATGGTGAAATCCTTCAAGCTTTACAATGATTTAGATGACTTATTATACAGTCTAACATATTATGAATGTTTAAAAAAAAATAAGATAAATTGTTTGTTGTTTCAAATAGGTTGCAAAATGATGATAAATTTGATTAAAATTTTGTTTTTGTTTGTAAGGCATTTGTCAACTTAGATGGAAAAGATAATTTTCTCAAAATAACTGAAGTTGCTTCTAAATAGTAATGAGTTACTTTGTCCAAGGAGAACACAAAAACTAAGAAAAATAGGTCACAAAATGGGGTTGCACTTCATGCCTAGCCTTAATTTACAAATATCTTTATACATTATCGAGTGCATCAGATAACTTGTAACTAACAAAGCTATTTAGTAGTATCAGAGATTATTCCTTCAACTTGTTATCCTGGTTCATTAACTCATTTTAGAAATAACCACCCAACATGACAAGAGCTTGTAATGTCCTTAAATAATTATTTTTAGTATGATCAATTAAAAAACATGATATGATACTAATTCTTTTATAAGCTTTCGTCATAGTTTAATTCGTCGCCCTTTTCATAGTTCTTCAAGGAGTCATGGCTGATGAAAGCTTTCAAACACAATAGAAGGCATGATTGATGGATGTGGGAATTCCCTCAACCATAGATTTACATTGAGTGCACCCATCATAAGTAGGAGCTTGATATGAGGCAGCCTACTACATTTATGCTGTTTAAGAGTTATAGTTGGACTTTAAAGAGCAACAAAATAATAATGATCCTATTTTAAGAATGATTTATGATTATAGTCAATATAGGGAAGGTGGAATCCCCACAGATGTTTTAATTAGTTGTTTGTGCTTGGAAGTGAGTTTAAATTAATGGCCTTGTGGTTCTTGGTACAATCTCCATCTTTAATAGAAATAAATCTTTGCTTAATCCATCATAAAAAAATGAAGCACTTCATAATTTAAGGCTTTATCTTTGTGTCCAAATGTTAGCTCATCATTGACAATTCTATTATTTTGCATCTCTAAATCATGGTGCTCCAACTTAAATCATGATAAAATAAATGACACCAAATAAATATACACCCTACATAAAACAAATTTACGACTTCAAACAATATTCAACTAAAAGCCAAGAAAGACTCTTCAAATATGTCCAACATAAAGTATGCTAAATATAGTTGACATTATCAACAACAAAAAATTAATAAAATCAGAGGGAATAAAACTAGAGCAGAATGTCACCTCCCAAAAAGAGCTTTTCGGGGTGATGGGCAGCCCAAGAATTAAATATTATTTTTCAGCCCTACACCTAACCGCGTGACGCCCTCATCACGGATCGGCTCATCTGAGACATCCGAGAGTCCTACTGGACCATGGAGAGTCCACACACTTGGCAGACAATAATCTGTTCTGATACCACTTATCAGCTCCCAAAAGAGCTCTTCATTTTACTTAAGATCTATAGAATTAGCTATTGAATTATTGAGATAAAAATATCTTTTTTTTGAAAATTATCATGAATATTATAAATTTATTTTAAACAAACGAAAAGAAAAAAAAAAAAAAAAAAACTGCAGACCCCTTGTTCCAAAATCACAAACCGAGTAGGATGGAAAACAAAATCAAAATTACCTTTCAAATAATCAAAATAATCGATAGGGAAATTGGTGCATAGAGCTGTAACAAAATAGATGAACGCCAGTGTGTACTTTTCATAGAATGAGTACTCGAAGTTCAAAATGAGGCTGCAACCTCTGCTTAACATATAACAACCCCCTGTAAGCAATTAATTCTTGATAAAATGGTGATAAAATTAAAAAAAAAAAAAATTAAAATCAAGGCACAGCAGATGTGCTACAGGCAGTGCGCAAAAGTTGATCATTTTGTATAAAGAACATCTTCCCACGGGTGGCGGTAAAGCGGCTGCTTCAACCTTTTCTGATCAAAGGTGTGCCTGCAATTGAATCCACACGCCAAATAAATTCTTCGAATAAAATACATAACATAAACTATTGATAAATAAACCTAAATTGTTGCGCATAATTTGTAAATTTCTCTTTTTTGGGGGCATTTACATACATATCACACAACTCTTTATGTATTTAGATAACTTTTACACGCAAACTTTCATATTCAAAAACATAACACAAATTTTAAAATTACATAAAAAATAACATTTCTATCACTTTTTAGAATAAAATACACATTTTCATGAATAAGTTCAAAGCACCGAAGTGCTTTGTATGGTGCTTTGTATATGCATATGAAAGTTTAGTGAGAAATATGTAAATACATAAGAATTATGTGGTTTTTTTGTTTTGAGGGGCGATGGCGCAATTACATACATACACCCAATTTCTATGTATTTACATGTCTAATGCATAGACTTTACTTTTTTAAATTTATACCGCAAAAACTTATACACATCTAAAATATCCCAAAATTAACTTTAAAAAAAAAGTGAAATAGATGTTTTTCAATGCATAGAAAAGGTGCCGTATATCTAAAAATTGAAGCTTAGTGTTAGAGAAGCAATTAGCATCGAGTGGTATGTATGTAAATCTTCCTTTTTTCTATTTTTAGATTGCATAGATCTCCATAAAACTTTCATTTTTCACCGTATGAAATGAGTTGATGAACTTGCTCTTTTAAAAAAAAAAAAATACTTACCCTATGAGACCGATAGAGCGCGCAAGGACAAAAAGTCCATTCAAATATCCGATGTCGACTATTTCGTCGATCTCCTGCTTGGTGAACATTCCACTGCCTGAAAGTAGATCCAAGAAAAGGGATCCAATGGCGCCATCAACGTTTAAAACCAAGTTGTTCGCCTTTGATAACGTATAGTTCTCAACTTGAACAGCATAATCCATGTACTTCACAGAAGGGAAATGAGTGTGTGCATATCGCTGCAACAGCTGAACTCTCTTGTCCCTATTATCCCTACTCTTAATCCTACAAAAATCCAACGGATGTAATTAGAAATTCAGTCAATGGACTAACTTAGATTATTAAATTTCTTAAATCTACAACATTAAAGATGACAACTTCACAAAAAATTATGAGAATGAGAATGTAACAATAAGCTACCCTGCTCCATTTCTGATGATTTAGCCTGAATTTCTCGAATAAACCTTATTATCATATTAATTTTAGTTCTATGGCCTTCAATTGAATAAATGTTGCTAAAAAGGCCTCTCACTTCCTCCATGCTTCGAAGAAAATAAATTCTCCAGTTGCCCCATTTTTTCAGTGCTTTTCAGCAATTTTGCCTCTCAAAAATTGACATATTGCGATTTTGATTTAGTGTGGAAAAGATCATCTATGTTTCATGAACTTGAGCAACAAACTAAAAAGTTTATCCATTCTTGCAGGGGCAGCCATAATATCATTTCACACAAACCAACTTAACATTACCCAATAAAAGTCTTAATAGAAATAAAAAAAACAAAATGAAATAATGGCATGTTGTATTCATTGCACTTCATCCAGTTGGTTAACAACTTTTGTCCCTAGCAAGTCTCAGTAAAATGAACAATTGAGATTTCCAATATTTAGAATATTACTGTTGTTCCCACGGGAATTTTTGTCTCGTTAATTCCAAAAGAAAAGAGTTAAGATAAAGAACAAAATAAAATAAATGAGATGGAAGCTTTCAAGAATGATAGCTAAACCCATTTCATCAATTCTCAATAAATAAATAAATAAATAAAAATGGTCAAAAGCGAAAGCAAGTACCTGTGACCAATTCCGGGTACCCTGATGCCCTTCTTCTTCATGCCCTCCACAAATTCATAAGGAGTAAGACCCTAGAAAGCAAAAGCATTAGTAAATAACTTTTAACCATGCTCCTGAAGCAAAACTTCAGACAGTAAATTTAGGAGAAAATTAACACTTAGGGCCTGCCTGGCAACAATTTTATTTTCAGTTTTTGTTTTTTTTTTTTTGTCTTTTTTTGTTACAAAAGTGTTTGTTCAGCATATTTTTTTTGCATATTTTTATATTTCATTTTTAAAAAAAATCAACTTTTTTTAAAAACACACAACTTGTGTGTGTTTAGAGTGTTTTCAAAACAATAATTACAACCAAATACGATTTATTTCAAATCAAAACATAAACAAAACAAATTTTAAAAAAAAAACTAAAAGTGATCATAAATGGCCCCTTAACTATTTAAATGAAAAAGGAACTTACCCGGTCATGAGCATCCTTAAAATATCGGGCAGCATCATCAATTGCACCACCAAATCTAGGACCAATTGTGAGAAGCCCTGTTTCAAAAGCTCAAATCAAAATGAAGCCCATGTTCGTCCGCCAACTTCTCGTACACGAAATAATATCATGAAAAGCAACATCACAATGAACTACAAGATAATTGTTGAAATTACCAGAAACAAGGCTCGAAACAAGGTCCTTCCCAGCCCTCGCTGTGACTATAGTGTTATGAGCTCCAGAGACACAGGGACCATGGTCAGCACACAACATGATACAAATCTGATAGCCATTACCATAATAAGCCAAACTAAGGACAAGCTCTAGATAGTATGCTCATGCTGAATGTATGAAGAATGATACAGTAATGCTATTTCAAAAGAGGATTGAACGCAAGGCCCAGCCATTCAGCAAGATGTTATAACCTCGTATAACAATAAAGAAAAAATTACAAATCTAGCACATAATTCTTATGTATGTACATATATCACACCTACACTTTTATATTTACACACATATCACTTTGATACTTTAAACCTATGAATGCAAAGATGTATTTCACTTCTAAAGATTGGTAATAATACTATTTTTGATATGATATTGAGGATTTGAGTGCTATGTGTGTAAATGAGAAAGTTTAGGTATGAGATATGTAAATACATAAGAATTGTCTGGTATGTATGTAAATGCCCCAATGAAGAAATAAGTTGGGTAGAAATGGTTCCTACAAACCTCTATGAATTGTGTGCAATAGCGAGGAAGGCTACGTTTGAACCATAAAAGAGAGATAACATCGCCAACGCTAAAACCACGTTCGATAATGGTAGACATGGGTACGCCAGCATAACACGGTTCATCACCTGTATATCATAATTAAAAAACTGAAACTAAAATGTTCTCCCAAAAACTGGGACCTTTGATAATGAAGATAGGTATAATTTTCAAACCTCTATCATCCGAGATAGTAGAGACGATGTGAGTTGGGGCCCGGACCTTCCCACTTTTAATTGCAAAGCTAAGATCCTCCGGAATTTCAGGAGGTTGAACTTCAGCCACAGGGGTGATCTTCCCTTCTTCAACCTATTAAATCCATAAATTATGGAGTCAACAACTGTGCTGAATGCTTCTTCAAATGTATGCCAGTTTTTATTTGAATATCTTAATCACGATGAAACCACTATATAAAACGTCAATCAATAAACTAAATTTTGGAAGTTGAGAATGTCGAGAAATGAATTTAAAAGGGAGTATGAAGTCACAAATTGTTGCTTAGAGATTTATAACCAAGTAACAAGTATCCTAACACTTCACTTCTATTTCTCAAATTTAACCCCTTGTGTGCTTCGCCTACCATTGCATTTCTTGTAACTAACTGTACAAATGATATCTTGACATGATATTTAGGCAAGTGAAATCTCTTAAGATTAAACTAAAATAAATTTCTTAGTACAAAAAAACAACCATGGTGCAGACAGTGTATATTAATCAGAACAGAAAACTTACAAGCTTATCAAAAGTATCTTTAATTGCAGCCTCAAATGCTTCATAAGAAGTTGGGACAATTGCTCCAGCTTCCAATAGAGCTTGATTTTTTGCCTGTGCTGACTCTAGTTCACCTCCACTCTTGGCACCCTAGTTTATTGATAAGAACTAATTAGTTAAATATCACCTCAAAATGTAAGAAAATAATAACTTTACGCCCAACTAATACTCACAGCATGTCCAAACTGCACTTCTGACTTAAAGAGCCTTGCACAGGTTCCACTGACCCAGGCAACAACTGGTTTATGAATTTTACAATCTTTAAGGGCCTCGACCAGGGAATATTCATCACGCCCGCCAAGTTCACCAAGTACAACCATCATTTTTACCTAAATCACACCCAGAAAATGTAAAGGAATGACTGAAAATAAAGTATGCCAAACAATTTCCATAAAAGGAGAAGGTTGTCCTATGTATAAATTGATCGGAGGTTTACTAAAAATACAATTCTTTTTGGTGAGTTTATTTCTTGAAATTCTAATCTTAGATTTTAATTACTCAAAATGGCATGGCTAGGAACTTGTGGACAATATTTCAAGTTTCTGGTTGGGCATTCCTAATATTAGATAAATTTAACAGGTTCAAGTGTAATGCAAATTCTTATAATTTTTCTATAATCAAATTTTTATATAATGAACCATATTGCATGGCATTGTTAGATTTACAATTTCTTTTTAAGTTTTCTTCAAGGGCCTTCGGCTAGAGTTAAAGGGAGTAGGGTCTATTTACAATATGCAGTTTGATGGAGTTTAAAATAAATAAATAACAAAAATGGCACGAAAATTAGATAAAATTTACCAGTCTTGCTGCCATCTATGGAAGCTCTAGAATGGTGTCACCACCCTTTGGCTGAATTTAGAAAGAAGAGAGATGCGGAAGAGAAAGGAAAACAAATGGAGTTGGGTGGGGAGAGCGAGAGAGAAAGAGAGAGAGAGAGAAATTGAGAAGTGAGGGATTGAAGTGCATAAATGGTAAGGAAGAGACATAAAAATCTAGAGAGCAAGCAAAGTTCTAATGGATAAATATTAAGTAGATTAAAGAAAATAAAAAAAAAACATATAAGCAAGAAAAGTGGGTGATAAATATAGGCAGATAGCAGCAATGCATCCTTTTAATAACAATCACCAAAGGAAGTATGATGCACCAACTTGATCGTTTGGTGGATTTATTCAACAAGTATCTGTTATAAGATGAGCATGCTGCAGACACTAGACATTACTAGCTTATTTTTTAGGCTTAAAAAATACATTTAAAGATCGATGAAAAATAACAAAATAAATAAGTTTGATTTCAACCCTTATTTTACAATCCACCTAGTAAATTAAATAGAAACAAATGTAATTAGCTAACTTCTATATGTCATGAGTAGACGATATCACGGTCATCATCATCAATTTATCAGCAGTCATCCCAGCTATATGTGGTGGCTTTATAAATTTCTCTTAATTCAATCATTCCTCTTGATTGGTATATTAGACTTTGACTCGAGTGTACGCAAGAATTTGCACAGCCTCATGTTACTATTCATTTAACCCTTCTCCTTTTTTTTCATTTTAAGATTTAATCTATCAATCTACCTGAATGGCGCAAGCATTTCTTTCCTTCATAAGTCACAAATCACCAAAATTTACTTTCCACTCTATTTAATTCAGTAGTTTTTTTGCCACCATCAATAATATAAATATTTATCTCTAAACTATTTATCATATTTATCTTTATTTTGAAATTTTTTAATATTTAGCATTTCAATAGTACAAGGAATAAGATTGTACACACTAAACCCTCACCAAAGCCCAACATTGGTCAGAGGCCTCATTCATTGGGAATAGAGTTTCAACATTCTCATTTTAATAACAAACAGCTTAATTTTGCAATTACTTATTCATAACCAAAAAGCTTAGAAATATTATATATAAGTATTCAATATTATTGTCTAACAATATTAATTTCATCATGTGTTGGTATAAAATATAATAATCCTGAGGCGATAATCTCTTAAGAATTTCCTCCATAATTCAAACTTTTCACTTACTTCAAAACAAGTTTTAACATGTTAGAATTACAACCTGCCTATACAAATGCACCAAAATATTTCATCATGAATTTCACAAAAATCTCCAAATTTCTTTTATAAGATAAATACTAAGTAAAATTCTAATCTAATTACATATATACCACCTTAGCTAACCAATTTTTAAAAAGTGAAATACACCTTTGCATGGAGAGCCCCTAAAATATTAGAATGCTTCTTTTTCAATCACTTTGCATCCTTTCAATCTTTTGGGTTTTATAAAATAATCATTAACCATATAATTTGAATATTTACTACATTCTTAAGAAATATAGAAGTATCTCAAGTATATGCAAAGTTCTAACTTCATGTACCAATTTTAAAGGTAATTAACTTCTTCGTTAAAAAAAAAAAAAAAGGTTACATAATTCTATTTTTTTTTTTTATGGCAAAGAATTTTCTTTTTAAATATATGATCAATACTCCATCAATATTAAATACTTATTTTATTTTATTTTTTCTCTATCTTTACTTCAAATTTTAATAATTTCATTCTTAAGTTTCACTTTATTCCTTTTTTTGTTTAACCTTTTAAAAAATAATTCAATTTTAAATAAAAAATAAGCA